TATGTATGTATATATATGTATATATGTATATATGTATATATGTACATACATGCATGCATGCAAACATAAAATACATAGACACATATGCATACGTAAGTCACTAGCTTGTTGTTGCCATTTTGCAGGATTGCCTACGTACACGTGCACTAGGTTCTGCATAGAGACCCTTTTCAAGCCAACATACGCGATTTGGGGATCATGTTGTCAAACAGCCACTTCCCGGGCACGCCAGCTTGCACTAAACCAATGGATGCTTGTTCTTGTCCGACGACAGCAATGCAGCAAGTTTCACACACTGTGTCTCGCACTGTGGTCGCGTGCATCATTTCCGCGAGGCATATATTGCGGCTTCGCCTCTAGCATCCGACCCCATGTGACTTCAGTGTCTCGGAGAACTTCGGTGGTGTTGTTTCTTCGGGACGAGGTCTCTCAGGTCTCTGATAGACAGGTAGATTCTCAGTGGAGTTCGACAGGCAAGAGCTCAACCCTTTGTTCTGTAGGGTTTAGTGCTTGGCATCCTGGTTTTCGCCCCATCTCCCAAATCCCTTGGCCTCGGCTCTGATGGTGTTAGAGCATTTTGCTTTTCCCTTGCCTGCAGCCAAGCTCGAACTCAAGGTCCGTAACCTGAAGGAAGAGTAGGGCCTCCGACCTGGAACCCTGAAACCGATAAACCCGAAAGTCAGAAGAACCACCCTTGACCCTGGTTGGTGCAGCCCTGAGTGTTGCTCGTCCTGCGAGAAACTTTGCTCACTTGCCTTTCGTGGAGTTCGGAGGATGACAGATTGAGGTTTCCTCAAAGTCCTATGCTAACCCCGCACCTCGGACCTCTATGCAAGGCCTGATGAGGCTTGCAACATACCGCCTTCTGGCATCCTTCTCCTGTCTGGCTAAGTCATCTAAGTCTGGCTCTGTCGCAAAGCGCTCACGGTCAGGGTGCAAACAAAGCGCAGGAGGCTTCAAAGTTGTCGGATGACAGCTTTGGGCTCCTGCTGTTCTGACACCAACTTTTGCATTCCGTCATCAGAGGTCGAAGCAGCATGCGCGTGCAAGCAGAAATTGCGGGCCTACTGAGGGAGTGTGCTCGTTCCCGGACTCGTTCCGTGTTGTGTGACAGCATGGTGTGCTTCCTGCAGCCACTGAGGCCGTCGGGGTATAGTACTTTCCCGGACCATGAACAGCACGTAATGTAATGTTTGTACTGCATGTGTAGCTTTCGAGAATCATCTTCGATCCATGTCGCATCTTACAGTTTGAAACGCGGTGCCCCCGATACCACGTTCTCAAAGGAACGGTAGCTCAGCAGGAAGCCGACACAAGCCGACACTGTAGAAGCGAGCAGAAGGTCAGAGGAGCAGGCAGCTCCCACTCCTTCCCTACCTGAGCAGCATAGCTGAGCAACCATAGGGTGGTCCTTTCTTGAAATTTCTGTGCTGAGTCTTCTGTAGTCTGATAGCAAGGCACTAGCCATGGAGGACTTCCCACCGATGGATGAATTGGAACTGGACCATGAAAGTATGGGCAGTCCGAGACTTCCTGACAGGCCCTGGATCCAGAAAGAGCTTGGGAAGGGGGCCTGAAGAATTGAGAGCATGATGTGTTAGGCTTCCGCACCAAATTGTAGTGTAGTATACCCCCCCCAAGCCTAATTTCATTGTTACGAAGGTCCTCACAGCTTTATTACAACACCATAATATATTAGATTGTGTGTATGTAATGTAATGTAATGGAACGGAATGGAATGGAATGGATGGGATGGTATGGTATGGTATGGTATGGTATGGTATGGTGTGTCTGTGTGTATGTTTGTGTATAGACATGCGCACGCATTAGTTGTTGTGTTCTCTTTTTCCTTCCCTTCCAAGGTGAGAAGAGATAATCGTAGCCTCGATGTGCAGCCCTTTTGTTCACATTTCACGCAGTGCAGGCAGTCGCTCCGGAAATTCGTCGAAAACGAGTTTGCGAAGCAGCAGCTTGGATGGGTTGAGGACTTGGCCAGGCATAAGCTATAAGCCTAGGCACTGATTTGAAGCAGGATTTAGGTATTGGCGCGTTGGGAACACATGGGCTTCTGCTGTTCAACGCATGCTAGTTCTTCCTGTCGGAAGTTCGAAAGAGACCTCGAAGTCTCATTCCCGTAGATAGGAGGGGAGGAAGAAGAGGATGAAGCACTCCAGCTAGATTCTAGATCTCGTCCTTTGCTCAGAATGAGCCAGCGTGGCCTTTCAGGCCTAGTGTGGCGGCCGATTTAGTAGGGCCCCCCCCCCACTCCCCTTACAAAATCCGCTGCCTTGATCAATCTGTTACCCGTAACCTCCTCGACCTTGGTTTGGTAGATTGGGCTTGGGTTGGCTTGGGGTCTGGGTGGCTGTGACTAATCTAGAAGGGAATAGAGAGGTCCGAGAAGTTTGGGGGCTGGCTTGGGGTCTGCGTGGCTTAAGTGGAAGGGTTAGGTTTTAGATCTGAGGTTCTCGTGGGGCTTGGGTTGCTTTGGGGTCTGGGGGCTGAAGTAGAAGGGTTTAGGAGGGTTCAGTAGGTTTCAGTGCTTAGGTAGAAGGGTTTAGGGTCAATAAAGGGGGCTTCAGATTAGGTTTAGGGCTTAGGCTTGAAAGGGGGGTTCCGGGTTTAGGGAGAGCTTCTGGCTTCAGGGCTGGGGTTTTGGGGTTTGGAGGGGGGTTTAGGTCGTGGGTGCCTTAAGATTGA